CTGAAGGAAGTATTTGTCTTCACAGGTGGGCCAAAGCTTTGTAACATATAAGGGTTAACGTTGTAGTTTGGGAACTCTGAAACATTTAGCAGAATATTAAAGAGTTTTCTTCTTTGGCAGTCCCTCAGGATGACTCAAGAGTGACTTGTTCCCGCTGTGGTTCTCCAGGTTCAGGGATGGCTGATAACCCAATTTGTGATTAGCAGATTCTGCCCTATCTTGGGTATATGGTGCTTAAAGGAGTTGGGTAGATGGATGTTGAGAGGTTTGTGCACTCCCTCTGACACCCCGATCTCCCACGTTAAGTCAGATTAGAGCTTGAATTGCACAGGGCACTCCCAAAGAAATAAGAGATAGGAAGACATTGAATTCACCGGCAATCCATCCCTATTAACCTTTCAACTTAAACATAATCGCAGCTTTGTCTACAAAGTCTTATGCAATAAATAAACGTATGGAAAATATGGTGGAGTTACAGAATCTTACAATTACAACGTTTGTAATGTTGTTCTCTTGTTATACAATGTTTGTAATAATGTCCAATTTTATACAATCAAAGGATGTGACTGTCACAGACAAAGCCAGTCTTTCTTGCCTATTTCTAAATATCCTGGAGAAGGTGGTGGGGAGCTATCGTCCCAAACCATTGGATTATTTGAGGTGTAGATACACCCAAGGTGCTGTCAGGGTGGGAGATCCAGGATTTTGATCCAGTGACAGTGACGATGTATTTCCAAGTCAGGATGGTGAGTGGCTTGGAGCGGAACTTAAGATAGTAGTGCTCCCATGTGTCTGCTGCCCTTGTACTTCTAAATGGAAGTGTTTGTGGGGTAGATGCTGTAAATAAAGTCTTGGTGAGTAGCTGCAGTGTGCCTTATAGCTGATACACAGTGCTGCTACTGAGCATTGGCGGAGAAGGGAGCAAATATTTTAGATGATAAACGTGGTACTGTCTAAGCAGGCTGCTCTGACCTGGATGGTGTCAAGCTTCTTGAGTGTTGTTGGAACTGCACCCATCCAGGCAACTGGGGAGTATTGCATTACAATCCAACTAAAAAACAGGAGGTGCATTATTTACCACAAAATCACTGAGCTGCTCTTGTAACCACAGCATTATAATGACTGGTCTAGGTAGGTTTCTGGTCGATGTGACTGTAGCCTGTTCCCACCCCCAACACCACCTCTCTTGGTGCTGTGCTGATACTTGAAGGATGTCAAGTGATGGTGGTGACTTTCGAAAGTTACAAAAAGTACTTCGCTCATTGTGATTCATTTGAAACTCAAATCTCAATTAAATGTAGATACAGTCATTAAGTCACACAAAATTATTCTGAAAAGCAGAGGGAGAGTTCTGTTTCCTATCTCACAATAAAGTAACTCCAGCAATAGAAGTTGCAGGTAATATTGTTCTATTTATAAGTCATCAATCTCTGTGAAAATGAGAGAAGATGTTGGAGAACATTTAGTTAGCCATGTCCTTAGGGAAAAGGAAGATAAACTGTGTTGGAAAGAAGTGTCATCATTAATTTATTTTGTATGAGCTGTTTCTATTTTCAAACCCCACAAATGTGCAGGAAATGTTGACATTGTTAGTAATGTATAAAACTCCAAGGAACTGGGACAACTCACTCCTTCAGTAAAAAAGCACTAGTTAAGCATATTTCGTCCTATAAATGGGGAAATTAGCCACTAGCCAATGTTCTCCATCATCATATCGGAGGGCTGCAGGGATTAGTTCCACCATACCTGAGATAGCTCCACAGTTTGATTTGGCTCCCTACAGGGAAAAGGCTGAATCCTCCCAACTATCACCAGCATTAATAACAAAAATTACACCCAGGATGGAAACAGATTTATGATGGTTAACTTCACCCCATTTTTCATTCATTAATGTTAGTAGCATGCACACACCCTGACATGCAACAAACTTGCATTTATATTTCATCTGTACTGTAGTGAAATACCCTGAGAAGCTTCACAGAGGAGACATAATTTGGCACAATCCTACATGAAGATATATCAGGAGAGATGACCTAAAGCTTGATCAAAGAGATGAGTTTTAAAGGAGGAGTGGGAGGTAGAGACATTCAGGGAGGAAATTGAGAGCATAGCCACCTGAACATGCAGCTGCCAATGGTTTACAGTAAAGAGACAGAACTGCCGCCAAGGCAAAGTTATCTTAAAGGATGACAGGAGGTGATTGAGATAAGATGGTACCTGGCTATGGACCAAAGATGTGCAGGTTAGGTGGATTGGCCATACTAATTTTCCCCTAGTGACCAGGGATGTGCAGATTAGGTGGATTAGCCATAGGAAATGCAGGCTTACAGGGTTGGGGTAGCAGGGTGGGCCTGGGTGGGATGCTGTTCAGAGGTTCAATATGGACTTGATGTACCGATTGGCCTGCTTCCACATGAATTATAACAAATCATAGACACTGGGTGGGGTCAGGTGGTTAGTGATGAAGTAGAAGCGATGGATGACATTAGCGTGCAGGTGAAATGTATCTTGTGATGTTGCTGCAGGGACAGGTGCGGATGAGACATGGAATGGACCATTGGAGGAACTAAGAGGAAACTGTGCAGGATGGGAAAGAAGTCAATGCAACATAGTCCATAGTTAGGATTGAACAGAATGGAACCAGGAGAGGGCAGCTGGACAACTGCTCACCATTGGAGGCCAACAGTTTGCTCAGACAAATCAAGGACGCAGACAGGTCAGTGATATCAGGGAGGTGGAGGATATTGAGGAGGCTGGGAGGTGGAGGAGGTCAGTGAGGTTGAGGAGGTCAGAGAGATTGAGGTAATTGAGGATGTTGGGGGAGGTTGAGAAGGTTGGGGACGTTGAGGAAGTTGAGGAGTTTGAAGAAATCAGGGAGGTTAAGAAGATTGAAGAGGTGGAGGAGCGATCATTTCTCATGGTCACTAGGACCTCATCCGTGACTTTGAGAGAAACCACATTAGTTCCACAAGAATTTTGACTTGATCGTAAGGATTCATAATGTAGAGCGTGGGAAAGATGGTGTCAATTCGGCCAAATAATTGGGAAGGGTAGCAGGGAGTGCAGTAGTTTGTGAGGACTAGGTGCTGTGTATGTTTGTGAGGAGACGCAAGCTGGTGACAGGTTTCAATGTAGGGGGATTCAACTATCAGCGAAAATGGGGTGGTGCTAGAAGCTGCTGATCAGCGGTTCATTGGAATAGGACTGAGGGAATACGAAGGAAGTCTGAAAGGCAAGGCTGAACTCAGCCTGTGACAAGTGGAATTAAAGAAAAGTCAATCATTTTGTGAATTGACTTTGTGTCAATGAGTCAGCTGTTTAAATTAACAATCAACCAGGGAGGTGATGGTCTAGTGGAATTATCGCTGGACTGTTAAACCAGAGACCCAGATAACATTCTGGGGATCCGGGTTTGAATCCTGCGACGTCAGATGGTGGAATTTGAATTTAATAAAACTATCTGGAATTAAGAGTCTAATGATGACCATGAATCCATTGCTGATTGTTGGAAAAACCCATCTGGTTGACTAATGCCCTTTAGGGATGGAAACTGCCACCCTTACCTGGTCTGGCCTACATATGACTCCAGACCCTCAGTAATGTGGTTGACTCTTAACTGCTCTCTGGGCAATTAGGGATGGGCAACAAAATGCTGCCTGGCCAGCAATGTCCTCATCCTGTTAATGAATAAAGAAAAACGTTGTCTCAGTCTCAGTCTTAGTGACAATGAAGATAAGCATTGTGTACATGTTAGAAGTTTAGGAGAGGGAGGTGACTTGATTGAAATATATAAGATCCTAAGGGGACTTGAGATGTTGGATGTGGAGAGCATGTTTCCTCTAATGGGAGATTTGCAATCAAGAGCCAGTGTTGTTTAGTGGTAATGTCCCTACCTCTGAGCCGGCAGACCCAGGTAGAAATCCTATCTGCTCCAGAGTTGCGTAGTACCATTGCTGAAAATAGCCAGAATGAAGAGTTACTTTTTAAAAGTCAGGAGTTGTCCATTTAAAACATAGATTTTTAAAATCTCTGAAATGATCATGAGTCTTTGGAATTCTGTTCCTGAAAAGCAGATGGAAGTAGATTACTTGAATATTTTTAAGGCAGAGGGAGATTCTTGCTAAGCAAGGTAGGGGATGGTAATCAGGGTAAGTGGGAATGTGGATTTGAGAATACAGTCAGATCAGTCATGATCTTATTGATTGGTGGAGCAGACTTGAGGGGCCGAACAGCTTATTCTTGCTCCTTAAAATAAAACAAAGAGCTGCAGTTGCTGAAACATACAAAAAGAGAAATTCCTGGGAAAACTCAGCAGGTCTGACACCATCTGTGGAGAGAGAAACAGAGTCAATGTTTTGAGACCAGAGACCCTTCTTTAAACGTTTTTTCTTTCCAAATGCTGCCAGACCTGCTGAGTTTCTCCAGCAATTTGAGTTCTTTCTGGCTCTTCTTGCTGCCCGTTCTGAGGGTACAGGGGACTTTCAGGAGGAGATGGAGGTGAAGAGTATCCATGGAATTTACGGTCAATTCCCATGGCTATCCCAGAGTGTTTACAGAAGTTTGTCTGTGGTCCAGTCAGACCTGGCTATGGGTGACTGCTAGAGGAAATCCGCTCAAGTCTGTGCCCTTTGGGCTCTGATGGGGAGAGTAAGTCGAAGAAAAAAAGGAGAAGAAGGTAGAGGTGAAAATGTGAAAATCCAGTGATACAGTGTGAGCTGTCAGAGCAGTGGCGTCCTGTCTGCCTACACTGACAGACTGTAGCCTACACCGTACAACAGTGTGAGCTCCAGGACTCCACATGGATTTGCTCGTGATGAAAGGTCACAACCCCAGCAAGTTTGAGCTTCCCTGATAGTGCCAGCCTATTGCTGGGATTGCTGTTTTCATTGCTGACCTGAGGAAGCGAACCAGCGGCGCGAAACCCTAACACAAATAAACATGCAGCCAATTACTGTACATCCAAAACAAAACAAGGGAGGCATTTCAAAATAAACCGAGCAGAACTTTTTATATAAAAAAACATTTTTTTGTACATGAACCGGGCGTTATCTACATGCAAACGATCAACATTATCTAATTTCACAGAATGTTTTGTCAGGAGATCCCACCTACAATTAAAATTTGAACAGAATGGGTATTGCTTATTTCAGTCTTCACCAGCTTTTGATTCCAACAAACCAGTTTCCGTTAGGACCGCGAAAGACAACAAAGTTACATCGATTACGAATTACCAGTGGAATGGAGCAAAGTCAGACTGCGGGATAAATTTCTGTTTTAGACTTGTGTGTGCAGTGAGATTGACGGCTGTTTGGAAATAAGGCTTCCCTGAGGCGGTGTTGATTTAATTGACGACACGGAAACTCTGGTGATTGAAAGGGAAGATTCTGTCTGTGTAATAGTCCTTCTGGTCGGCTGCCTGGCCCAGGTAAGTCTGATTATTCTCCGCTCCAGGAATGTGTTCACACTGAATGTAGAGCCAGCGTCTGTCCTCACTCAGAATGCGGGTCAGCGCCACGATGTAGCTCAGGGCCATCTGTAGGGTCTCGTATTTGGAGAGTTTCTTGTCCTGGCCCCACTGTGGCACCACTTTCCGGAGCCGGTCGAAGGCGTTGTTCAAGCCCTGCATGCGTCTCCTCTCCCGGGCATTCGCTGCCATCCGCCGGCGGACACAGCTCTGGACCCTGTCCGTCCCAGAGCCGGGCGAGTCCGTAAGCCCCGAGCCAGCTCCGGAACTGGAGGCGGACAAACTGGACTTCATCACTCCCGGCTCTGGAGGCTGTCTCCTCTCTCTCTGGAGCTGGGGAGAGGCTGGTTTAAGATCTCGCTTCTCTCTTTCTCCGAAGCGGCACTTATCTCGGAGCTGGGATCTTGCCGTGCCTTCGCTGCGGGGGTTCTGTCTCTCGGGTGTTCAGTAAAGCATGCCTTTCCAAAGTCGCGATTGCGAAAAATTGAGGCGCAGATTCCAGGAATGTGGGAATGCGGTTCCCAGGGACTGGCAGGAAATTTGACAAGTCCCCTGATTTGAAACTGACTGGAGAGACCCAGTCTGGGCACCCTGTTAAACCTCAAATCCTGTGATTTTTTTTTATAACAGGACCAGAGCCAGGAGGGAGAGGCGGGGCAGTGCCTTCTGCTTTAGCCTGGGATCTCCGTGTTGTTGAGGAGCTGTGGCTGTGAGTGTGTGCTTTGGGAGTTTTTATAGCGCCCACGGGCTGCACTGGAACAGGTGGGAACGCGGAGTTAGCCTGACTCCCAGCGGCCGTGCTCCATGGGAAAGTGCCTTCGCTTCACCAACTTCATCCGCTTCCCTCCACCCCCCCCCCCCCCCCCGAGCACCCGCACCCCCCCCCCTCAACACACCCACTCCCACCCCCCCTCCCCATATGCTTCATCCACCTTGGGTGGGAGTTACGTGCACAAACCTTCACTATCCCAAAGGAGCAACAACACAAATCCTGGCTTTTCCCAGGAATAGATTCAGTTTCGGAAAAGGGAGGCGAAAATGTTTGGGAGAATGTGACAGTCATTCATCTGAAAGCAGTCGGTTTAACTCTCCGGCTCAGCATCAATGATGTGTTTTGAATCAAAGTTAGACGTTCGTGTGCAATGTGTTCGAGAGGTGTAACCTCACTTCCCCATTTCACTGTCAGGCTGAACCTGTGTCTCTTCCCCCCACACACACACTCACACAGACAAACAGACACCCACACAGACCCACACTCACACAGACCCACACACACCCCGACACACATCCCCCCCAACACACAGATACAGACACACCCACAACAGACCCACACACACCCACACACACAGACCCACACACACCCACACACATCACAGACCCACACACACCCACACACACCCAGACCCACACACACCCACACACACCACAGACCCACACACATCCACA